TGTGGTAATGATTTGTATTTAAATTATTTGTTCAGATGACTTTAGGGTCTTAGTCTGAGCAGAATACATCCTAGCAAATAATGACTTCTTCTGGGGTTGAATTTGGATTTCATATGCGTGAAATCAGAAACTAATGTCAGCTAGTATTGATTCAGCAGTCAGCCGTGTCTGTGTTGCCCATGGCTCTTAGAAATATATAATTTTTATTACAGCATTTTTCATAATTAGCTGCATACTTAAGATTGTCAGGTGCTCTCCAAGACAAGAACTTTAACAGCCTTATTTTACCTTTGAAGTTTAAATATTAATGAAGTGAGAGTAAATGATAAAATATGGATGCTCAAGTCATGGAGAGGTGTAACAGGCTGACAAATATCGTAGTCTTCCCACAACAAAACCCTAGTTCTACGTTGGTGTAACTTACATAGCATTTTGTCAAGAAGTATTTTAGGTTTTCTGAGAACTAAAAATACACAGTGGCTAAAATTCACAAGTGAAATAGACAGAAGACACAACAACTCCTTCACATTGCTTCTAAGTTTATTGCAGGAAGTCTTTTCACCCCCACCGTTTGCACAACTAAACCTAACCCACCCAAAAAGAAGGTTTTAAACTACCTTATATACAACACTATCTCTATTTTGAAGGTAACCCCCCCCAGTGACTCAGGCACACAGTCCATTTATTTCATACATCATGAGGAAAAAAATTATAGATAGATAGATGTGCATGTGTCTAATATGCATAAATTGTGGACCGACAAGATAAATAGTGTTCAGTTTCTGACCTTACATGCTGAATGAATGCTGATGGTCATCTGTAGACACGGGAACGTACTGTACACTGAATTGATAGAACTTCAGAGAAAAGGGTGGCCTGAGCTGTGGGGTTTTATTCCTCTGGGATCTGAACAGTGAGTCAGAGAGAGGCAGAAGGGAGAAACAGACAAGAGGAATCCCCAGACACAGCCGCCTCTGCAGAAACATGGAGAAGTCAGGCAAGACCATGAGGGCTTAAAGGGAACTGAACATCCCTGTGTGTCCCTGTGCGTAGCTGTGTGGAATGGAGCATGAAAGACTAGGATGCTGAGTCCCAGCTGTGCCCTCTGTCCTGGGACTCCAGCAAGGCTCAAAGGAACCCTTCCTCCAGGCCCTTAAGGCAACACGAGCAATTCACAGCCAGAACGGGCTCATCAGATAGACGCAAAACTCCCCTTTGACCGATGAATAATTACTGAAGCAACTGAGTTGGCACGGTGTCTCTAGTTTTTCACAGACAGGGACATATTACTATTGTTCTCATGGTTTTACACCGCTTCTCAAATTGTTGTCACAGCCTGATGCAAATCTCCAGCTGAATAAAAAATACAGATTTGATTGTGGTCTGTCATAAAATGTTAAAGTAAACTAAATACAGTCTACTGAGCCATGAATAACACATTTGATTATCATATAAAATATTGAAGATGCTCTCCGCACCCTGAGGGAGAGGGCTCTCCTCATATGCCAGTGCTGGTCATTTCATCTCAGCAGCAAACACAACTGATTAAACAGCCACTGCTGTCAAAAGTCACAGCACTTCCATGAAAACACAGAAGGCTGCAGAAAAAGACAAAAAAATATTGCCTTTGATTTTAACAACCACATTAACGGATCATTAAAGAGTAACTAAAACTGAAAACCATATATATATAAGTATTTAGTATTGTGGTTGATTAGTAATGGCTGATCTGGAGGCAGGTGACATATGTGGTGGCAGCTTTCGTCACGTGAGTTTTTTTTACAGAAGAGGGCACTATCTACTTTTGATTTTGCTTGTTGTCACTTGTGTCAGTAGCTGTATGGAGGTGCAAAGACATGGTGGCCGCAGGTGAAAACCGAGCACCATCCTGTTTAAGATTGGAGGTGTGGCAACTTTTTGACCTCCCAAAATATGCATTGTTTTGCATTTACCTTAAAAATAAAAAAAAATGTTCTTTTTAAGAAAATTGAGGAGAATATTTTTGTCTTAGAAATAAAATAATCGTTTTCTGTAATAATTTGTCTTCAATGTGATTGTTGGTGTTGAGGAAATTGTATTGTGAACCCAGTATCATGAATGGTAATGAATCTTGAGTTGAGTATATTGTTACAGCCCTAGCTCTGACCTAACAGAATCTTACACAGCACATCAAATACTTCAGAAACATACTTTGGTAATCACAGAACATGATAACCGTTTGCATAAGAATTCAATAATAATATAAATTTCCCATTTTCAGCCCATAATTTATCTGTCCTGATAATTATTGTGCATCCCTATTTTTGGCTCTAGATCACTATAGAGCCTATTAATGGTGTTGTCTCACACATACTAAACATAGTGGGAGTATGAGCTCCCATAGTGTTCAACAGAAGAGTTGTACCAGGAAGTGCCTCTTAGAGGAAATACGGGAATAGATCTAGCAATGCAGAATTAGTAGTGGAAATACATTTACAGTAGTACACTATCTAGATCAGCTGATGAGACCAGTGAGGATGAGGTCAAATATATATATTTGTTGGTGTATTTACAATAAATGCTCGTCTAATTACAGCAGATTAAAATAACACAAGAGATTAACATCATTCCACTGCTGAAATCTCAACAAATCACGCGTTGGTCTCCATCAGTAAAATACTTGTGGGTTTTGCCAGTTCAACCTCCATACCAGCCTACAAAGACTGGCTTGTGGCTGGTTGATCCAATAAAGCTTTCCAATAAATGTACAGCACGAAGCCCAATAAAAAGAGGAATCTCATCTCCACTGTGAGGTTCTCTAGAGGAATAGAGCTACCTGAACACAGCAGACATTATTTATATCTGAGGCAGCAGTGCTGTATTCGTGAAATAAAATAATACCTTTAAAGGCTAAACACAGTAAAAAACAACAGTGAACAGACACAAGCAGAAAACATAGTAGTCATGCTCTACATCCTGTTCTCCTCACTCGAGCAGAAGACATCTGAAAATAAATTACTGCAAAGGCGGCTTCCTTGTCCTCTGCTCTTCCAAAGCAACATCTTGTGAATTATTAAAACCACTTAACAGGTCATTCCTATGCAGTACTGTCCTCGGTTTTATTCAAAACTATTTCTGAAGTAAATTTAGCCTCTGTGCACTTCGTTATTGCTGAGATTATTATGTATAATAGGTCACCTTGCCTTTTGTATGTTAGCCTGTATTCAAATATGCAGGTCAGATTTACAGAAAAGAAAAATAGTAGAATGATAGATTATTTTTTTTTTTTCTTCAAATTTACATCTCAACCCAAGACCTGAGCTCAGTATGTGTACTGTTATTCACAGGTGGCATGAGGTGAATCTTAATGTTGAATTCATTGCACATGGCAACCTGCAATACATCTCAAAATACAGAGATAAATTCAGTGATTCATTACACCATGACTTTTAGTCAGTTACCACTATGTTGCAAAATGTCTGTTATTTCATCAATTAGTTCCTATCTTAATATAATTGATTATCAATTGATGAATATTGTAATTAGTAATTAAACATTTGAGTAAGAGGATTAAAATAAATAAAAAACGGATTTTGTATCAGTCTGTCTAAACTAATGGATGTTGTTTATTTGCTATTTCCATGTTATCTTTGTTTGTTATCTTTGTTGCAGAACAGTGTGTGCACAGTGCAATACTTGGAGCCCACATTATTTTAATACCAACATTAGCATTCAGGGTGATGACAGACACCTGCTGTGTCTTGTGAAAATGGGATGCACCTGCCACACACCACACGATGCTGGGCTGTTCCCTGTTATCCAGGGGAAAAAAACTAAAAGAAAGCTGCGAGGAGATTGGAAATGAAGGAGCAGACCGATGACACATACATAGCAAGATGTGGGCAGGGTGAGGGGGAAAAGGAGCGAAGGTTAAGCAGTTGATTGACAAGCAAATAAACAGATCTCTTAACACCTCTCTTTAACATTCCCAGTTGATAGCATCCTCCTTTCTCCTCTGTTGCATCTGGCTTTGATTCTTGACTTCTGAATCTCTTTCTCATTAAAATGAATATTCTTGCACTTTCTGGTTGTTTTTAGCCTTCACCTCAGAGGCACATCAACTATATGGATCAGCAAATATTTGAATAAACATGTTTTAATATCAAAGAAATGTCACTGAAAGTATCAACATTCGCACCGGGGCTGTGTGTGAACATTAATACTGGAACTGATGTGAAATTAAGATTGGCACTTACTATGGGGTATATTCTGTTGACATTTATCTAGAAACGTGAGTTCACTTTTTCTGATGCATATAAGTAAACTCAAGGTATCACTGAGTAATATCTGTGATATATACAGTAAAAGCTTGATGCCAGACTACCTATTTTCTGTGGTTTTGTTTTTAGAGTGTGAATTTCTCACCTCTCTCTCCTCCTCCAGGTTCAGACCACCACCATGTGCATCTCTGTCAGTTTGAGTGGGTCGGTGGTGTTAGGCTGCCTCTTTGCTCCCAAGGTCCACATCATCCTATTCCAGCCGCAGAAGAATGTCAGCACTCTCAGAGTGGCCACCACCCGCTTCAGCGTCACCACCGGCCCAGGCTCCAGTTTCTCTCAAGGTACCACCTGATATACAACAACATCACGGTGGCGTTTGCTAAGCTCAGTACGAAAAAACAGTATATTTCAGGTATTATTACTGATAATAACTGTACTGAAATGAGACGTTATTACATTATTCATAATTGCTTTATCACTATATGAGGCCACCTTTCTGTCACACCATTAACATTGGCTGTTCAGGTCAGGCAGGGCAAAAAGGTTTAACAGTTTCTCAAAGGTTCTTTTGTTCCATTAAACTAACCAAACAAAATACAGAACATTTCTGTCCTGTCTAGAAATCAGTAATTTGAAGACAGGGGGCACCCACTGTTTCTGGATAATTAATTTAAAATGTGATAATAACACATAACTGCAGTGCAAATCACCAGATTTCATTACTTGATTAGCATGCTGCTAATTCATTTGTAAGAACATCCTGGCTGTTTACAGCACTGTAGCTCAGTGAAAAAGGAATGGCGGCGGGGGGCAGTGGTATACGTTACACACTCTATCTGTATTGTTTGTGTAATACAAAAGAACTTAGAGTTATTGTTTTTATGTTTTGCAGCATCAGCCTCCAATGTTGTTCCAACAGTCTGTAACGGACGAGAGGTGGTGGACTCCACAACGTCCTCCTTGTGAAGATTAGCTCAGTTCCTTTGCCAAGCATTGTAAACAGTTATATAATCACTAGTCCTGAATCAGGTGTCTCAGATATTAAAGAGGTAACACAGAAGATCGTCCTGACTTTGTTGTCCTCAAAGTGCTGTGAGTACAATGTCCCAATAATTTTATTTTGTTCTTTGACTCGTAGCGATTTTAAATGAGATGCCGATAAAGTCGCATATAGCCCTTGTTTTTATTGAAGATTCTACTTGCAACAATGGAGTAAATTATAGTAAATCTGTTAAATGTAATATATACAAGACGTTTTTAATGTAGATTTTGGTGAACCAGTTTGTGCTTTCTTGTAATTTATGTAAATAAAATGTGTTTTTTATTAATACCAAGGTGACTTATAGTCTATTTCTTTGCATGCTGCCTGCTGTCGTTCCACATTGTTACATGTAATTTACATCTGTGCCTTAAAAGATAAATATATATAATATGCTAAATGAACTGCACATATAAAATGTTTTTCAACCGTCTTGGACAAATAACTTTATATGTCTTGATGTTGATAGAGCTGCCATACATGGGCTCAGAGTCTTGCTCAACGACACTTGTGGAGGAGTTGGGGATCAAACCATCAACCGTGTGACGAATGTTTATCGTCCTCTACCTCCTGAGCCACAGACCTAAAAGAAATCCATGTATAAACTTGTTGAAGAACTGCAATTCATATCCAAGATCTTGACTATTTAAAATATATGAAGATGTTAGTACATTGGAAATTTGAGCGCAGTCTGGATTTGAAATCTGAGCTGTCTATTTATCAGCTTCAATAGCCAAGACCAAACAGTCTCTACATGAAAATTACCAGCACAAACATCATCATCTGCTGATATGGGATAAAATCCACCAAAGCTGTCGTACGAATAAACACAGCAGTCAGTACCTCTGTGTACACAAGGCAGATCCTTTGGAAAATAGACCCATACAGTATCTGTGATTTAACACTGCCATCTTGTGTCCACGTTGTTTGATCTAATCTCGCACACTGCAACATGCAGGCAGCCCTCGGGCTTGCAGTAAACAGAGTATTTGCATATGGAGGAAGTGGACAGATAATCAGAGTGCTGTCTTGCTTTATTAGATCTGCTTAGTGGCCATCATCAAATTACTGTGGATATATAAACCAGGTACAGCATGTACTGCAACAACTCCTTGCTGTAAGAACAAGAATGTAAACTAAACCTGTGTGTAATGTTCAAAGAAAAAGCCCTGTTAAGCTAAATATTTAGATGCACAATTAGGAAATAATTTATTATTTTACAGTATTACCTGATTGTATAAGAGAGTTGATAACAGCAGTCATGATGAACTTATTTGTTGAGAGTCATCTTCATCAGACAAATCCACAGTGTAAATGTTATGTAATTATCATTTCCTAAAAGGGAGAGTACAATGTCATGATTAAACACAGCAGACTGCAATCAGCATTGTTGCCAACAACACCATCCATAATAACATTTACTAAAATGTGTACAAATTGTAATAATCATTATCAAGTTGATTCTTCAAGTCAACCTTATTATAAAATTAATTTAATGTCTAAACACACACACACACCAGCTGTGCAATATTATACATCATATATCTGAGGTGTGAATTTAGCAGACAAAAGCTGCACATTAATTATTAGAGAAGATGTACTTTACTACTACTAAAGGGAACTCATTTTATACCTAAATTAACAGTGAATGTGAAAATCGAAAGGAAAAGAGAAAATGAAAGTTTCTCATTATTTTTGAGATACTAAGACAAAATATTGTGGTACTAAGACAAATTATTAAGATACTAAGTCAAAATATTAAGATACTAATATCAATATTTTGATAGAGTTTCTCATTATAATGACTTACCAAATCTTTTTTCCTATCACATTGGCAGGAATGGGCTTCCATAGGTAACTTCTAGTCAATGAAATTATAATGAAATTAAAACACCCCAGGTTGAGAAGAACCACTTATTAAATCAAAGTATAAATACTGAACTGTGAACTCATCTCTAACATGTTAATTTACTTTAGTAATATGTGTGAATTTAACACAATAATATTATTAAACTACGTGTGTAACAACTATGCTTAACAACAGTGAAGCTATAGTGTCTCCATATGTTAACAGAAGATAACAGTGGACGTTAACCTTGAACAAGATGGTATTTCCCGTCTATTATCCGGTGAACATTAGTCACACAGCAGCTGTATGAAGGGGCAGTAACACGCCGGGATACGCTGGGTGGCGGTACCGCCGTCAGCTAACGTTAGCTCTGCCGGTCCCCGGTCTCCACCCCGACAGCAGCAAGCAGGGAAAATACAGTGGAGCTCCACCTCTTCCTCTATGACTGTATTAAAGTGAATGTAAACTTCCCGTAAATCACTGTTACACAGCGCACCGACCCTCTGTCTGTCCGTCCGTCTGCTCTCCTGTCGCCCAGCCCGACTGACACCGTTTAAAGTTAAAAGGTGAGTTCCCAGCTGAGGAAGAATCAGGTCATCTTCGGAATAAAAATAAAAGCACTGAGGCTCTCCGACGGCCTCGATCAGAACACATCAAAACTACTGTTGTGTAGTAGTGAATTGCTGTTAGTTATGGTTGCATACATCTGTATCTATATAGTATCTGACGGGTTATTACTCAGTAAGTATGCATTGGGGCTTCATTGGTTTGTTTTGGTGCATACAGAGGGTTAGCTGGTTAGTGTAGGCATGTCTGAGCTTGTCCAGGCAGCTTGCCCAGGTCAGATCACGAATGTTGCAAGTTTCCGTGCAGGGTTTTTCAGCCAGGATCATGCCACCAAAGAGAAGAGCTGCTTCTGCTGCCAAGGCAGGTGGCAAGAAAGCAAAACAGGAGACACCAAAGATCAAGGATGCCTTCACCTCTGCAAAAGAGGCCCTTCTGGCTGCAGGGCCACAGGTGAAAGGCAAGAGGAAGGTGGATGAGCAGTGCGAACTGTCCGACAGTGGAGAGGTAAGAGAGAGCAACAATGCAAATGCCTGAATTTTATGCACTTCTTTAAATACATTGTTAAAAATGTTCTGTGTTGTCTCCACCAGATATATGAAGACTATGACTGCATGCTCAATCAAACAAACATTGGACATAACAACAATAAGTTTTATGTCATTCAAGTTATTGCATCAGGCAACGATTACTACACATGGAACAGATGGGGCAGAGTGGTAAGTTTGTCCTGCAACACAGTCGTACTAACTGTACTTTTTTCCGCTTTGCTCATAAATCTCATACATTTCTCTAAATATTAACCACTACTGCACTTGGAAACATCTATTGGAGTCACATTTTCCTGATGTTTTATTGTATATGTGCTCTTTCTGTGCTCCGAAGGGCCTATTGAAACTAATGTCTTCAGCAGATCCTTTATTAGATCAAATTATTACTGCACGTTATTTGAAGAGAAGTGTGTTGACTGTAATAGTATTTGCTAATGAATATATTCATTATTTGAATCAATGTATCATTAGTATAACTGTTGATGTTTAATACACTGTGGTAATAATCGGGACTATTGACAGCTGGTGCAGCGCATGTTAGTGTGGTTCATTTTATTATATAAAGCATATTGCCTCTGATTGCCTCATCTCTGATCTAAATTCAGGGGGAAACGGGACAGTGCAAACTTAACGAGTTTGATAAGCCTGAGAAAGCTGTCAAGGACTTTGAGAAAAAGTTCAAGGACAAGACAAAGAACAACTGGTGCGATCGGTCTAATTTTGTGTCTCACCCTGGGAAGTATACCCTGATCGAAGTGGATGGAGAACAGGATGCAGAGGTCAAGGTATGAAACCTAGAAGCAGACTTCATTAATGAACTTGTCGGAGGTGTTCCAAATATTTAAAATCTTTACAATTCCGTATAAGCCTACATGAAATCTCACTGGCTGTACTTACAGGTGGACAGTGTTGATGGAAAAACTGTCAGAATGTCTAAAAATGTCCTACCCTGCACCCTCGATGAGGCTACAGAGAGCCTCATCAAGCTCATCTTCAGCAATGACATGTTCAAGGAGGCGATGGAATGCATGAACTTAGGTGGGTGTGTCTCAGTTTACCAACCCTTTAATACAAACAGGGAGAGCTTACAGAAGTTCAGTGTATATAAGTACCTGCTCTGTCACATACCTGTTGGAATAGTGCCTGTTGCTCTAAATGGAAGGCCAATTTCCATACAAATGTAGGAACCTTACGACATCAAAGAGTGCAGAATTTGACATGTAAATGATTAACCAAAGGGTGAAGTCTGCATTTATACAGCACTTTATCTCATTTTGAACATACCGTGTCTGATAAGTGTCTTGGGCTTTGCTAACAAGATCATTGTTTTTTCTTGTTTGTTTCTAACTTTTGGAAGTAATTGAAGTAACAATTTGCACTATAAAATGTGCAAAATACAATGTGCCTCTTCTTAGCAAAAACCGTTGGGTTGGGTGTGTTTTTTTTATCTGTGTATGTATGTGTTTGTGTGTGTTAATGTTTTACAGACATCAAGAAGATGCCTTTGGGCAAACTCAGTAAGATGCAGATTGCAAAGGGCTTTGAAGTGCTGGAGGAGATTGAGGCAGCCATGAACCAAAAAAAAAAAGCAGGCAAGTCTCTGGAAGAACTTTCGTCAAAGTTCTTCACCACAGTCCCACACAACTTTGGCCGGAACAGACCGCCAACCATCAATACCAAAGAGATTGTGGAGCAGAAGAAAGAGATGCTTATGGTGGGATTTGTTTTTAGCTCATATGTTGGAATGAGCTGTCTTTGTATGTTTTCTCAGTCCTAAAGTCTTTCTCCTTTCACATGCTCTGTAAAGGTGCTGGCTGACATTGAGCTTGCCCAGACTCTGAAGTCAGAGACTGAGAAGGCTCAGGAAGAGATGATAGAGACAGTTCCTCATCCTCTAGACCAGGACTACAATTCTCTTAAGTGCAGGCTCGCTCTAATGGACAAGGGTTCAGAAATATTCAAGGTACTGTGTCATAAGCGATAATAACGTTCAGTAGCACTTCAACAAATCATCTTTCATTCATGTTGTCCTCCCGTCCACCAATATTAACACTTTTTTTTTTTTTTGCTTTTAAAGATCATAGAAAAATACCTGACAGTGACTTCATGTAGCTATCATAAGCCGAAAATTGTCAATGTTTGGGAAGTTGATCGAGAGAAAGAGGTAGGAACTACAGTCAGTCTTGTTTCATGTGATACAGAAGGCTGAAGTCCGGTGACCTAACACATACGATGCACATTGCAGGGAGAGCGGTTTAGTGAGAACGACAATCTGGATAACCGGCGTCTGCTTTGGCATGGTACAAACATAGCGGTGGTGGCAGCTATCCTGAAGAGTGGTCTGAGGATAATGCCCCATTCAGGAGGCCGCGTTGGTCGCGGTATCTATTTTGCATCTGAGAACTGCAAATCGGCAGCTTACGGTGAGGCTGTATGAAAAGACGGGTTGAATGAGATAATAATAACATGGTGTTTGAAAATCACATTTTTCTGCCATGTACTTGTAGTGCGTACCTCTAAAAACACTGGAGTGATGTTTCTGAGTGAGGTAGCCCTCGGCAACGAAAAGACCATCACCGAAGATGACTGTTCTTTGAAAAAGGCTCCTGCAGGATATGATAGTGTGGTGGCACGAGGAAGCGTCGAACCAGGTACAGTACTTCCTCAGTTTTATTTATATGGTAAAATAAACCATTATATTGAGAGAGCAAAATGCTTTTTGTGTCTAAAAACACAAAGTTAGAGTTGCATTTCTTAAACAGCAACTCGAGAAGAAACAAGAAACACTGTTTATGTTCGAGATCATATTCAATAAAAATCCTACTGTACTCATTTTGTTACTCGTTTTCACAATATTGCTGAAAATGAAAGCTTTTGAGAACTACTATGATATCATGTAACATTTTTTGCTTAGTAAAGCTGTTAACTTGTGTTTTCAGATCCATCCAAGGATGTCTTCATCACCCTGGAGGGCAAGACGGTGGCTGTGCCTCAGGGTAAGGCCATAAAACAGCCCCAGTTCTCAGATAGCCACTTCGGCAACAGTGAATATCTCATCTACAGAGAGAACCAGTGTCGCCTTCGCTACCTGCTGGAGCTGAACATGTGAACACGGTGCACTAATTCAATTCAAAGAAAGAAGCAGGTCTTTTAAAGGTTCCTCATTCCCTTAATACTGTATAAGGTGCTTCCTAATAAGCTTGGCTATGTTCTTCTCTCATAACCATATGGTTATTGTCTTTATTACTACAGTTATTGTGCAGATATTCCTACCATGATGCATAAAGAATTCATACTTCCTTGTGCCTTATATTTTGCACACTGTAAAAGTGGCTTGATGTGATAGACCAGGCTTATCCGTTATAACAAATACTGTATTTACTTTTCCCACTACAATGAAAAAAAATCTCTTTTTCACTTCTTACTAGATTGTAATTTTTAAATATCTAACAGGCCTCAAGCTATTTGCACAGTTTTCTTTTCAAGTCACATGCTGCCCCTTGTTTTCTATTTGGTATCTCAGTTGTGGTTTGAGTAGCTTAGCTTTTTTTTTTAATCGCTGTGGCAATGCTAAACCGTCGTCAGAAAGAAAATGTTGCTGATATGTAGGAGTAATTTGCCGCATGCTTTTGCAGTTATATAGTAATTTTTAATCATGTTGTATGGTAGACCAGAAGTGAAAAAATATACTGTATGCAGAGATAGGTTTACAGGCAGAAGGATAAAGTGCAATTTGTGGCTAATGTTCAAGCACTGGTACAAATCTAATTCAGCTGTTAAGAGAGACTCTGAATGTGCATCTGCAATGCAAAGTAATGTAACATGTATGTCATGAATAGCCTAGTAGGTCTTCTAATAGGTCTTCTAGCATCATTACATATGTCACCACATGGTGTCAGTAATGAGCAACTCTCTTTGTTATGCAATTGCCTTAACATTTTTGCACTAAGACATCACTTGAATCAGTGATTAGTTAATAAACTGAAGTTCTCCTCAAATGTGTTGCAATGTTTTTCCTTTTTGGAATTTGAGCTTTAAGACTTACTTGCATACTTGCTATTTTAGGTGTTTTCCAGTCTTAGAGCTGATATGTTTGTCATTGATAACTAATAATGTTTTTGATGCAAGACATTTTCAGTATGCTGGACTTCATTTGATAAAAGGCAATACAGGTTGTTTGTACATTGGTAATACATCGAGAACAAATTAAACTTTTTGGGATGGATGAAATGTGTACTGTTGCCTTGTATTATACCTCCACTCTGAGACAAATTTAATAATGAAAAATATTCAGGTACAGTACTTTTTGGGCTCAAAATAGAAATTTTACTGAACCACTACTATGGAATACAGGTGATTGGGGTGTAAAGAAAACCACCTCTATAGAGAGATGTATGCATGTTGTTGTAGTGCATTTCATTTCTGTCACTTCAGAAGTAAATCCCTTATTTAATATCAGTGGAGCATTTACATTCTCTAGTAATGTTACAGTAGCCTCTGATTTAAATAAAAAACATGACTTTCTCCCTTAAACTGGTGGAAATTAGGACCCAGGGAAGTCTGGCCTCTGGAAGTGGGACAGTGGAGTGTGTGTCTATTTGAAAGAAAAAAAAAAAAACACTACACAATACAATGTGTGACAGTCACTGCCATACACAGAACAGGACAGGAATGAGAGTGTTACTAAAGGAGAGAGAGGAAGCATAATTCACCATCTTATGGCATCATGGAATTGTTGATCAGCACTTCTTTAATTGGATATATACATGTGCGATAAGTCTGGACCTCTGGACAGAAGAACCAAACACCTGTTTGGTCTGAACTGACTGAACCACACAAACGGAGAGTGGATCATGGGTAAGTAAGTGCTATATGTGTTTTTATTTTTGGTGATAAAAATCTAGATGGAAATTCACTTTGAAGAAATCAAAATGTTTTACCACACAATGACATATTGGTATTTAAACAGATTTTTCATAGATTTACTATCAGCACACATGTGCATACTGCAGATAGAAAAAATGTGAGGTACTTATACTTTCCCAAATCACGTGCCTAAATAGACAAAAACTTAATATAAATTGATTTAACTATACCAATTCACATATTCAGTGTATTCCAAAGCAAAGTAGTAAAAGTCTTTGTATTAGAACTGCATACACAGCATGTTCATTGCTTTTAAAGACAGAACATGCAAAAGCTTTGATTGCCTTTTTCCTTGTTAGCAATTGTTGGACAGAAAGGACAGACTTACATCCTCCTATATTAATGGATTTATAATATCATAATTGTCCGTACATCCAACAAAACCTCACATGTACATTAGCTTTTGTTTACTCATGAACGCTCTCCTTTGGTTGTATATGATACAGTCTAGTATATCACGAGAGTTTGTTAATCCATTTTCACAGATTCTCATTTCTGAGATAAAAGTAAAGAGTCAAAGGCATTTGAGAGTGAAAGAGGATCAACAAATGTAATGTTAAACGAATAAATATATATATAAATATATAATAGACTCCAGTTGGACCTAAAACAAAGGCATTCTGAAAAACCTTAACTGAGATCACTGCAAACAGCTCTCTGCTTATTGTCCTCATAACTCTTATCTTTAAAAGCTGTGTGGAATTTCCCTCAACGGAGCTAATACTGATTTTGCATAAAGTAGGCTGCCATTTCTGTATTTAATAATTTCGCATTTAAATTGTATCTGTTTACACTTGAAACATGTAAGCAAGTGTTTTCATGTTTCAAAATTAGAGATGAATACTCAGCAAAAATGTTAACATGATGTTAAATAATCAAACTTTATCCCGAATCAGTATTCCTATTGTTATTCCTACATGTTATATAGATAGAGGGGAAAACATATATACAGAAGGATGGATGCTCCATGGTCTGAACATGCTTTATATGGGTGTTATTTATATTTGGAAATAACAGTTTTTTATGTCTTCTCAGCACAGGACATCCACATATGAAGACACCTGAAAATACAAATGGAGGAAGTTGTGAATGAATAATGGCCGATAAGACTGGTCCCATGATAGCTTCTGTTCCAAATCACCCAGTGACCAATCTCACCACTGCCCTATGGGAGCCCAATCCTACGGTTCCTGCCGCTGTGGGCGTCGTCACAAGCTCCCAGTCACAGATCAAAGACCTTTTTGGGTTGTTCTGCATGGTGACCCTTAACCTCATTGCTTTGTTGGCCAACACTGGTGTGATGGTGGCCATTGCCCGTGCTCCTCACCTGAAGAGGTTTGCTTTTGTGTGTCACCTTTGTGCAGTGGACCTACTGTGTGCCATCCTCCTCATGCCTTTGGGTGTCATATCCAGCTCACCGTTCTTTGGCACTGTGGTGTTTACTGTTCTGGAGTGTCAGGTTTACATCTTTCTCAATGTTTTCCTCATCTGTCTGTCTATTCTAACCATCACAGCCATCAGTGTGGAGCGTTACTTCTATATTGTACACCCCATGCGTTATGAGGTCAAGATGACCATCAACCTTGCTATTGGTGTCATGGTCCTAATTTGGGTAAAGTCAGTCCTGTTAGCTTTGGTCACGCTGTTTGGATGGCCAGCTTATGGACATCAGAGCTCTATAGCTGCAGCTCACTGCTCTCTCCACGCGAGCCACAGTCGTCTAAGAAGTGTGTTTGCTGTGCTCTTCAGTGTGGTCTGTTTCCTGGTTCCTGCGGTGGTTATCTTTGCTGTTTACTGTGCCGTGTATAAGGTCGCTCGTTCTGCAGCCCTGCAGCAGGTCCCTGCTGTGCCAACGTGGGCAAATGCGAGCCCTGCTAAAGATCGCTCGGACTCCATCAACAGCCAGACCACCATGATCACCACCACCCGTACTCTGCCCCAGAGACTTTCTCCAGAGAGGGCCTTCAGTGGAGGCAAGGCTGCCCTTACTTTGGTGTTCATTGTGGGTCAGTTCTTGGTTTGCTGGTTGCCCTTCTTCATCTTTCACCTGCAAATGTCGCTGACTGGCTCCATGCAGAGCCCTGGGGACTTAGAGGAGGCAGTTACCTGGCTGGCCTACTCCTCCTTTGCAGTTAACCCGTTCTTCTATGGCCTGTTGAACAGGCAAATCAGAGAAGAGTTAGTAAAGTTTAGACGCTGCTGCTTAACCCAGCCGGCGGAGTTTGGGGCATCCAGCCATGAGGGTTCCCTCCAGGAGAACTTCCTCCAGTTCATCCAGAGAACCAGTAGCACAGCTGAAACCTTATCCGGATGTGCTAACTCCCATCCCAGAAACACTACGGACCAGGGGATAAAGATCCCTGGACAAATACCCGAGGAGCATGCTTAGACATTGACCAACATGAGTTTTGGAATACAGTGCTAATATATGGGCCGTGACAGTTTGTGAACCATTTTTTTTAAGGGATACACTCACATTTTACTGTATACCGTAAAACAATACTGACTGTCCATATATACACAGAAACAATCATTGGCTGCTGTAGTTATTCCTTCTGTTCAGGCAACAAAGAAAAATTATTTAAAGAAAATTCAATGTCAGTGATGGGGTACAAATTCTACAGTCATTGTTTAATGCAAAAATCCCCACTTGATTTGGATAACATAGCCTTTTATTATCTTCAGCTGAATTTAAGGATTTTTTTTCTTTGCAAGAAAAAATAACTAGATCTTGTCCCCTGACACAAAGGGATCTATTTGTGGCCAGTATGACAAGAGGAACAATTACAGCAACCAATAATCCTTCTAATTTACTTATGGACATGTTTGTATTGTTTTAGGGTGAGCTTGAAAAATGTGAGCCTATCTTTTAAGTACATATTCAATACCCAGTGCCTTTTATTGTCTAATTCAGGTAGGCCTTTTCATTTTAGGTCAAGGGGCTGTACTGTAACATGAAATACAGAAATAGTGATAAATGTGCACACTTTCCATTCATATTACAGTTGACCTGCTTTTAATGATGTTTGTAGAAATGTTTCATTATGTTTATAAATGTAAAAAGTCTGGAGTGTAATTACAATAACAAGGACATGATTGAATGGATGTTTAAATGTCATATTGTATTTAATTAGGAACCATTTATATTCCATATGAATATGAGTTGGTTCCACTGTATAATTTTTTCATGTCAATAACAATATCTATATCAGTGACTGACTCTTTTGAACTTTGTAAAGTGTTTGATGATGTAAATGTAAGGAATAACTTGATAAACAGCAGCATAGAGTGAGTCCCACATATCACCAAATAATCCTTTCAGAGCACAAACACAGTGGCCTCCGCGATGTGAGGAGCTCTAATGAATCTGAGGGACAATACCTTGGAGTTCCTGTGTGCAACAGATATGCTGATCGTCGGTGAATGTCATCTGTCGTCATGGAAATTGAGTGAGCCTGTGACTCACATAGCAACGAGGACCTTTCGGCTGGATGTATGCTTTAGCTTTAGATCCTGATTGGAGTCCACTAATTCTGGTTCATGCAGACTGACACACACACACACACACACACACAGCCTATAAGTTCAGATGGAGGCTCGTTAACATGTGGATAGAGCCTGAGGGTAAGGCACAACTCCCTGCGAATATGGACTGCTATAGTAGTGACATCGGTACAGTGAGGTAGAGATAGTGAATTTACAATGGAAATCATTACTGGCCATTGATAATGCTCTAAGGGTGGTAACAAAGTGCTATTTTATGGCCTTTGCTGTTTGTATTAGTCTTTCACAAACAGCAGAAACGACGGATAAAGAAGAACAGTGTGGTCAAAGCAAATAATGGCAAACACCATTTTGCTGTATAGCATCACTAACTGGAGTATACACACTCTTACATAACTGTGGTTGTGTATTTAATACTTTTAGGCGCACACTGCATTAGCTCTCTCACCAGGTGGATATGGCTGCTGCATGAACACACACATCACAGAAACATGCTGGGAGACTTTTATGGATAACATCCTGGATTATTGATATATATATATGTCTGTCTGTTTCTTTTCTTTGTCTCCTCTCAGTTCATTTTCTGCTCACAAGTGTCTAGCCATTCAGTAATGAGACCAGCAGTGCACATTTTACATTATTTAGCCAAACACAATGACAGCTGCTGACAACATATGGAAAAAATGTGCATGCAGAGATTTGAATTTCATGAATCCTTGTGTGCACACAATGATAAAAATAGAGTAGAAACAAAACATCATCTGGATCTGGAAACCAATATCAACAAATACAAATTCGTCTGGATGTCTTATTATGACCTGTCTGAACAACTTCTGAATCACTATCCATCACATCACACTCAGGTCTCTGTATTTAGACATGATTTTTAATTAAAACAGATTAGAATGACATGTTGTTCCAGAAACATCTGGAAGACCAGGTGTGACTACTGGAGCTCTGCATTTTGATCTCTCTTCTCAAATCTAATCAAGAAAATTTGTTGTTGTTTTTTTGTTTTGCATCTTTTTTCATGTTTTGCTGATGTTAAAAATGTCTCAGTCTGGAAATTTAATTCCAGATGTCTAGGACCTGAGTATGGTTTATACACAGTATGAATGACAGAAGACAGCAAGAGCAAAGATCACCTACTGAGCCAGGTATTGCTGATGGTTTTCTGTAGAGTGGTGTTACACAAGTACTGTAATCTCATCAGGCTGAATAACCGCAAAGGAGAGCATTCACTCCAAAGTCAAAGGGCTTAATCTAGGCTGAACTAATGAAAGACAATACAGATTTAGACATGACAGCATACACACTTTGATGTCTCCTGCAGAAAGAAAATAAAAAGTCATGAAGGTTTGTGTGAGACATGTGGATTAAGGAACATTACTTGGAAGAGCAAAGGAGATTTATGTTGTTAGTCAGGTAACAGCAAAGGACAATCTTATTGACAACCATTAAAATGAATATTTTATACACCAACCCAGAGATGTACCAGATGTATCTAAATTAGCATATGTTAAGCAGAGCATCTACAGACCTCAGACACAATCACAACACAATATTGAGGGCTCTTCATCACCATGGTTTCCACACACACACCATTAATCAACTGCTAATCAATCCCTGCCTGCCTCCACTACCACTGCAGTGCTGCTGCGCTTAGGAAAACAAGTATTTTGGTATTATTGCAAACACTGAGACAAAATGAGCTATTTGAGCATGTGTGAGTGGAAAATGCAGCTGATTTTATCATCAGTGATAGATAATGAGGATCTATTTTTAAAACACTACAATGACAAACCATGGCCGACAGAGTGCGCTATATACCAGTGAATTCCCCTCCTTCCTCTTTGTTTGGACATCTCTGCCAAGAAGGCTTCTAGGAATTTTCAACAAACAGTGAGATACGTGTCTGCCAACAGTCTGCTCAAGCTTTTTTCTAAATGTGAAGGACGTCTCAATGTACATAAGATATTGTAGACAGATTGCTGTCTTTCTGTGGAATGTCCATGATCAGTGTCAATAAACAGTGTATTAACAGGCACAATTTATAAACTAGAGGCATTTGAAATATGCAGTGTGGATGGTCAGATACATTTTTCAATTATGCAGAAAAATTAGAAGTTTCATATGATGACTTGGTAAGGGGGCAGATAGTCATATTCATAGGTTAGAATAGACTGTTTCCTGTATGATTGCGTGGCTGCTGAGGGACAGAAAGAAACACTCCTGGTGTCACAGAATATCTGAAGCAATTTGATGATATAACTAGGTGCACTAAAAAGTAACCAACAGTACACTGATTACAGAAGTGAGGAGAATATAAAACCTGAAATCTAATCAAGAAAATTTGTTGTTGTTTTTTTGTTTTGTATCTTTTTTCATGTTTTGCTGATGTTAAAAATGTCTCAGTCTGGAAATTTAATTCCAGATGTCTAGGACCTGAGTATGGTTTATACACAGTATGAATGACAGAAGACAGCAAGTAGGAAGGTATTGCAGTGTAACATACACTAATTCATCTTGATCATACAGTAGAAAATTTGAGTCTTTAATAAATGCAGTGCTGGAGGTGTAACAGAAAATGGACTACATGTACAAAAACATAGGTACAAGGCTGTCTAAGGCAAAATATCAGCTTAATAACATTTTTATTAATAGAATCATCACTCGATTCTGCAATTCTCCTTAGCATTTTAACGTTTTTCAGCCCATTGTTTTGATGGCAACTTTACTGATTTGGTTCACTCTCACTGTTCTCATAGCAGTGCTTTTGGCTACAGCAAGCAGCTGTTTTTGGGTTAAAAACCCACCTGCTCAGTACCCAAAAGCACACAGACAAAGTTAGCAACAAGCTGGTGAAAACAGTATTTAGTAGCTAAAGAGTCAGATATTTTATTTAGTAGGTAGTAGAGAAAACAGAGCCAAAAGGGGAGTGAATAATAGACTTATATTCATCAGGTTGCTTGAAACACAAGTCCAAATGAATGCTCATATTTCTTTGTATCTGCTGGATGTGTAAATAAGCAATTAAATGCTGTATCCCAGAGGGAGGGAAATTATTTAATGGAACTTAAGATCTCTATCAGATTGGTTGATGTTGTCTTTATTTAGGATGTTGGTGATCATGCTGTTGATCCTATTCATATTGCTATAATAATAATAATAATAATAATAATAATAATAATATAATAAATTCACTTTAATTACCTGCTTCCAAGTAGTACTTCAGCATTTTCTCTGCTGGGTGCTCTGTATCTGATGGGCACTTGAAGGCCACAGGATATTTACACAAAGAGTGAGAGCAGGCAGGTCAACAATAGGTCACAACTTATTTTTGCCCCCGGGTACCTTAGCAGGTTAATACATCCATAAGTACATGGCTGTATTAACCTGCATTCGAGTAAAAATGCCATGACATTTATACTTAACACTAGAGGTGAATGTGGGCATGTATCATCAGCTACAAGTACCACACCAATATTCTGAGAGGTATTTACAGTATATTGAGTTGTTTGTTTCAATTATATGTGTTAAATTCTGTAGTTTCATACTCTATTTAGTATTTAGTTCCTAAGGGAAGTGTGAAGAGTCTAGAGGGGGTTGGGTTTTGCTACAAACTGTCTTCAGCCTACCAACAGCAAGTTATACAAACTGCACCAGATAATGATGAGTGCTCACGGACCACACACAAGCATTACTGTGTGTGGTCCATGAGGGGCAGTGGGTTTCTGAGGGTCAGTGACAGTGGAAGAGCAAAGTTCCTGCTTGGATGGATGATTAGAAGGACAGCTCTTGCCAAGAAGCTGTTGAAGTGTAGAGAAGTCTGATCTTAATGGACTGGACCAAGACTGCCAACTCTGCTTTCATGATGTAAGGAGGACGATTTATAGCCACGACAGTGCCAACAATACTGACCACTTATCATAATAACTCCATCAATATTTAAGGAGGAAGTGATGGCTGATTTTGTGTTATTAGCGATGGCCACTGGATATTTCTCATGCACATCTAAATGAGACTTTCCATGTAGTATGTCACATGGAAAATGTCGCTTAAGACAGGCCTTTAAAAGCCAATAAAGGCATTCCTCAACAAGAAGCAAGGCAGTCAGCAGTCCACTATGTTCCACCTGGGTGTCAGTGACAAGCCTGCAGAGGTTAGAGTGGTAAGGCATCCTCCTGCTACGCCCCACTCATCCTCCATATTTTCAATTACATGACCACAGCAGTCGACCAAGCTGAGACACAGCTCAACTCAGTGGAAATGGAGGACGAGAGATCAAAAGAAAAGAGACAAGCAGAGGAACTGATGGAAGTCAAAGTGGATGTGCAATCTGAAGATCTGAATTCCACCCACAGAGACACAAGGCCTCTGATTCACGACAGGGATCCCAAAAGAATCAACAAGAGTCTTAAGGTAAGTAATGTGCGCTGTCACAGAGATTTAATCAACACAAAACACATATAAACATTTACAGAGGACACACAGCACAGGCCTCAAACTGAGGCATGTCATTTCTGTCTAGGGAAACTGTCTAGAACTTGACAGGTCAGTAGAATAAACAAACCCGCTGTACACTGCATACTGTACCTCTCCTCCTGTCATTACTGAACCAGATGTAACACTGATCATGCATAGCTGAAGTAAAGCAGAAATATACATATGGTTTTAGTCTGACATAGATTTATTTTTTGTTTATAGGCCAATTACTTGTTATCAGGTAATATAAGACTACCATTTAAATGTGTTCAATATCAATAAGCTGCATAATACTGACCTCATGTGGACATGATCATAAACACAATTCTATTTTCTGCCTATAAGATAAACTGCAACGTATAAATAATTAAAGCTGACATTGTTTGCAATTAAAAACAGCTCAGTGCAGTACATTTGTGTGTATCATCCTCATTATGCACGTCAAGATTTTGCTTCCAGGCCTACAACATATCCAAGACCCCAGTTCTCAGTATTATATTTCACATTCTTGGTGAAACTGTCCTTAGAAATCACTTACAGTGTCTCTGTGTGTGTCTTGAGGTCACGTTTGAGGATGTGATTGCAGAGCCTCCCTCGGTGCGGAGCTTTGATAAAGTGTGGCTGTGGAGTCACGCCCTGTTTGAGTTGTCCAGACTATGGTGCTACCGCTTCATATCCCTTCTCCTGGCTGTGCCGGTCTCACTGGTAGCAGGGCTCCTCTTTGCTGTGCTCAGTTGCCTTCACATCTGGTATGACTATTTACTGTCCTTTTTTAGGGGTATGGAAGGATTTCTATTTTTATCGATGAGATGAGCTCATGTTTTGTCCACTTCCCTGTATCTCTCCAGGTTGATCATGCCTTGTGTGCAGCTCCTTCTTATCAACATGCACTGGGTCCAGACTGTGTGGGGCAGCATACTGAACATTCTCATCAGCCCCTTCTTCACCAGTATTGCAAAGTGCTGCAGTCGAATCACCATCTACCTGGCAAAAGATGAAGAGAGATAGAAAAACACAGTGTATAAATGTGTGGTTATGAACAGAGTATATGGAAAAAAGATTGCATACTAATTCCTTACAGCAAAATTATAATCAGCATCATAATTGATTATTTTGTGTTTTTGCTCACCTGTCATGACATTTGGCATGCTGACATACATGTCAAGTTGTCCCTTTTGTAACTCCAGACCTAAACAGGCATGTGTTGATTGAATGTAGGGTAAATGGTACTAAAACAATGAAATGCACAATTACAGAAAATAGCAAAAAATGTGTAATGCAATTAAATTACAAAATGATCTAAACCCAGATATATTGGCCTGTAAAGCAAAAGAGACCAAAAAGCATTTAGAGATGATGACTGTTGAGAGCTATTAAATTGTCTCTGGAAGTGTGTATCTTTGAGAAAGGCTAAATTATTACATTACTACATTACTGACGTTGAAATTGTAAATACGTTGAATGAAATTGCATTTATGAATTCTTATAAATGTTTAGTCTTTCTTATATTGTCCTTTTCTGTCCTGTTTGGAGATGAGTTGACATAATGAAAATTGTTTGGTTAAATTTGATTAAAACATTTCCCATATTATTGAGGACTGCTGCAACATTATTTTGCATTAGGGGTGCGTCAGATGTCATCTGACCAAGTTAATCAGGAGCCACAGACCAAATAACGGTACTAAAAAAGATGTAAAAGGGCCCACAAATTCAAATCAGATTCAGTTCATATCAAACCAGTAAGCACATGGATGTGGCACATTTATGCAGATAAAACATTTTTCTGTCTTAAATAAAACCTAATTACCTTACATATATGTGTGACCTCAATGCAAACAGCATCAAAAGTTGAATTTCAATAAGAGAAAAGTGAAATGCTGCCACTGTGCAACACTCACGTCACTGGAATCTAGTCATCAAGTTAGGTTAGGCGGTATCTTTATTTACATTATGTAGTTTTAAAAGACTGTTACAAAGTGCTTTATAGAGAAAAATTACAGTAAATCAAGTAGTCATGACAAGAAAGTGTTAAAAGACAATAAAACAGTGCTTTTTATTTAGTGAGGTTTTCACATTACTTTAATTTTAGAAAGAGTAAAGAAAGACAAGCTAATCAATATTTGGTCTCTCTGATGATGCACAGGTGAGTCACTTAATGGAATAGTTTGACAACTTCACTTTCTTACCGATAGATAAATTGATACCACTCTCATGTCAGCTCAATATGATGCTATATACCACCAGCAGCCAGTTAGCTCAGCTTAGCATAAAGACTGGAAATAAAGGGAAACATGTTTTATTGGTGGTTTATGTTTGGCACTATTTCTTAGCAGGGAGGTTGTGGAGAGTCCAGGAAGTCAGTTGTGGTGGTAGGAAGATTTTGTTACCATTCGGACAGAACCAGGTTAGCTTTCCTCCATCTTTCCAGTCTTTATGCTAAGCTAAGCTAACTGGCTGCTGCCCAAAATGTGCAACAATTTATTTAATTTGCTGAGTTTTATAGGTTAGACCAGGGTACCACTAAGGATATTGAGAATATTATTTATGTGTATTTAATACAAAGTAGTCATAAGTAACACACACAGCTCTGTTCATTTCAACGGGAGCACCTCCAATGTTTGTAAAGTAACCAGGGTTACTGATACCCACCCTTACCATTACATACAATATGACTCTAAATATAGGTCTGAGAGCCTGGCATGTCTGTCTACATTAAATGGAAGACAGGAGCCGGTGCAGTCTCAGCTGATTGCATTGACACCCATAGAGGCAAAGGTATGCCCACCATGACTCTCTGCTGAGCTATTTCTGTCCCCCTGCCTCCATGCCTAACTGGCCTCTTCTCTCTCCATTGCCACGCCAAGAATACTCCTCTAATTGGGTTGGCTCCCGATCACATGCGCTCTGATCCCATTCCTACCCTCCCTCCTCGTCTCTGTCTCTACCACCAGGGAACCGGGCAGGGAATGCCAATCCATATGCCGAATTCATACTTCCTGTACTGTTCTTACACCCCACTGACTGAGATAAATAGCAACAGAGAGCTGGGGGTGCTATGAGTCCTTGTACCAGTTTTCATAGGCGCCTCCTCCTCTTCCCCCTCTTTATGGAGTTTGTTTATGCAACATGCTGATATAGAAAGCCATGACTGATAGCAACAACTGCACAGCTTAAGGAAGACTGAATCAGAGTTTTATTTCGGGGGACTATTGAATTTTATGTATTGGGCCTTGCTACAATCAGACATATCTGGAATAAGAAACTCAGGACCTACCTTGCATGAAGTCTATTCTGCACCACTGAGAATGTGAAAGAATTTAAATGCCGTTATGATTGTGATTGTGTGAAAGCAAACATGTTGATTAGAATATGATAGCAAATAATGTATTTTAATTTCTCACCTTCTCTCATTGAGTCCCAATGGTCGAAATACATTTTATTTTATGTCCACTCTGCTCATTTACACATACACAAGTCGTCCAAGTCACAACAACAAAATACCACAGAATCAAAACACTGATAATATATCATATAGTGCAGAACCACAGTATGACTACTACTCTCAAAGGTAAGGTTACAGTGACAGAATGGCCACAGTAGTTTTTTCAAACAGGCGTAACAACAAATAAAATGACCTCTACTAACTTAGTTGGACTTTATTATGGCCACCTCACCTCACCACCGTATTTGAATGTGTATCATATTCTTCTTTCTGAATGATAACTTATAGTAATACAGTGTAATCTTTGTGCTCATGGTGACACTAAGTCTATTTTGAAAATAAACATACAACTCAATTTCTTTTCAAATGAAGTTCAGTATTAGGACACAGAGCAGAGCAGGAGGGTGTGTTTGTGCCTGCTGCCTCACTCTGTGGTGGAAATTCGTGCCACTGTGCAAACCCTGCCCAGTTAGCCCCACAACCCTATGTGAAATGTGACACAACCCTGGGTTCTCCTTTAAGGCATGCCTTTTCTGTCTGTGTGCATTACATTGTGTGTGTGAACACTTTCTGTTTGTGTGTGTGTGTGTTAGTGGGTGCTTATGGGTGGGGGTCAGGCCTCCATTTTTACCAGGACGTCTGCAGCAGCTGTCCACTGACATGCCAGAGGGAGTGTCACAGTGGTGATACAGGGGTTCAGAAGAGAACTGAGGCGTTTGATCAAGGAAGGTTTACTCTAACCGTCTCCGGCCTGTCGAGGACCTGCAGCCCCACCATGGCGGATCAGTACCAGTACAACACCAACGAGGAGAAGATTGTAAAGGACAGCCACACCAAGGAGATCGATCTAATTAACAGAGACCCCAAGCAGATCAATGAGGACGTGGTGAAGGTTTGTGCAGCATGGAAACAGCACCCTGTCACAGAAAGGATTGGGAATGGTACCCCTGTCTTGGCATGTGTGGAAGCATGTGGAGAGAAAAAAAAAGAATAAAGTGGCTTACAGTAACAATGACGGGAGAACAGGTTATTATACTGTCTGGAAAATCCCTAAATAGACCAAGAGCTATTCCTGTTGCCTGCGCAGAACATGAAGTTTATTTTGGGAATTGGGTAGAAGAGCGTGAAACTGATACACTGGAGTTGACTGCTGTTTATCCTGTGATTGTTGCCATGTTATTACCACAAAATATTTTTTGTAAGGACCGGGCCAGATATACTTTGAGATTATATTTTGTTTTACTGGAAGGTATTTGTGTAAACATGGTCAATGAAGATAATAAATCACGAGTTATGAGTAGAGCATATGTTTAGTGCCTGCATGGCTCAGTTTGCAATGATTTACATGTCTGCTCATGTCTGTTCAGACAACAAAAAGTTGATAAAGATGATGCATCTTTAAACTGAACAGTTTGTTAACCTTACTTGCAATAGTCTGGTCAAGAACCTACAGTAAGTGATGAATAAGCACTTATATTTCTAATCCATAAAATGTCTGGTCCCTAATTTAAAGTGGATCAATAAAATCTATTGAAAGAGTGTCTCTAATTAGTCAGGGAATCTTATCTTCTGTGTAATCAGATTCATCAACTTTGGAACACACTGTCAGCTATTGTTTCTAAAGGACATTCGTTGTTCCTTTGCTGAATTTGACTCTAGCAATCCCTAAAAGAGGCCTTGCAGAGAAAATATAAAACAGAGCATGTCCAGCCATTCATTCAGTGGATGATCTCAGGCTGCTATCTCTGTGGGAAGTGGACAGCGGACTTGTTACTTCCCATACTGATCCTTTCTAGTGGTCTGGAAGAAAAGGTTTTAGCTGTGTGCGGTGCGTTTGCCTGCCACGATTACAGACAAGTTAATTAACATTTTATAGCTGAGTTTCATCTCAGAATAAGACACGGCCAAAAGACCAGGTGGCACATACTGAAAACAAATTCGACCATTGTACAGTTGCTCTCATGCATTTTACATGAGGGGAACTTCAGTTACAAAAAAATGTGTTGGAATAGAGCTTTTAGACGGATTTGGTTTGAGCATTAAAAGCCACTCCATAACTTTTCCTGTCTGCCACTACATTGAAGGTTTTCTATGAAGTGCAAAAATTGGTTTCTCTGCATAATTTTGACCCAAACACTCTACAGCTTTCATAATTATAATCTTTACACTCAACATGTGCATATTACTTTGAACCCACAGAGGTCTGGTGAAGGGAGATGGATAAAAGCAAAGCAGGCTCAGGGATGTGTATTAATGAAAGCCTCTTTTATATTTCTTATTAGGTGGAGTTTGAGGATGTCATTGCAGAGCCTGACGGTACACACAGCCTGGATGGTGTGTGGAAGCTCAGCTACACCACCTTCACGGTGTCCAAGTACTGGTGCTACCGCATCTTGTCTGCTGTCTTCGGAATCCCTGTAGCTCTCCTTTGGGGCTTCCTGTTTGCATGCATCTCCTTCTGCCACATCTGGGCTGTGGTTCCCTGCATCAAGAGCTGTCTGATTGAGTCACAGTGCATCAGCCGCATCTACTCTCTCTGCATTCAGACCTTCTGCGATCCCTTCTTTGAAGCCCTTGGCAAGATCTTCAGCAGTGTGCGCGTTGCACTGCGCAAAGAAGTCTAAGTACTCACACAATAGTGTTTATAATATGATCGGAAGAAGTGCGGTACCTTTTTATACACCAGAAGATCTGTCCTGGCATCTCGCTTACTCCCTGATACTCCTCCTCCCTCCCTCCCTCCCTCACATGCTGCTCCCCACCCTCAAGTTCCCTGCTCTGAGTCCTGACATACCCGCTGTGCCTTTTGCCACCAGAAGCTCTGTGACAGCTGCAGCAGGCAGTGTGGTTCTGTGACAGCTCTGGCACTCCTGGAGGGCTCAGTGCTCCTCACTGGGGGAGAAGAGGGCCGCTTGCCATGAGAATTTATTAAGCAAAGACAGAAGCTACTCATTCACAACAAATGAAACAAACTCCCCACCACTGCTGCACCTGCGGAAAGTGCTGCATGTATGCATTACATTTGGCCATTCTTAAAAGTTATATTGATGCTGTATGTTGCTGTGCCTGCCATTGTTTAATTTTACACTGACTGAATTGAATTAGAGAAATATATGTAACATTATTATAAAAACTCTAACCAAAAGATAGGAATTGAAAATGTTTTCTCTACATAATTATTTTGTCCGATTTCTTTATAGTTTGTAAAAAGGTATTCTGATATCTTTCCCGTCTTAATTTGTGATGACTCTACAGTGACTAACAAACTGTTTGGAGACTTGCAGATGTATGAAATATGTTTGGAACCAACCATGCAGAAAATCTACTCTCTTTTATCGAAGCATGATGAGTGGAATATTAAACTTGCTTATTTGCGTATTTTAGTCAAGTATGTGTAAACAAGTATGGACATAACTACTGATGCAGTAAAGTAAAAACCTGTAATGTTCCATAGCATTATTTTGATTAGAAAAGAAGATATATGTATAAAAGTATAATTTGCTTTGCTGCTATTGTGCAAACAGGCTGAAAATGTACAATTAATGATCGTGTCCTTATAATAGAAGTATATTGCATCACCGGTTCAATGTTTGATTGAAAGTATAGTATGTGTATTGTTTCGAATCATTCTGAGAGGCTTAAAGAAATACATTTTTAAGATTCACCAAACATCCTAACCATGTATTAGTGATATTTTTGATAACTTCTATCACTACATGTTTCTGTTAATATGCTTCTCTTCTGTGTCTGAGATTCATTATTGATGTTTCTTTGTTCATAACCTCAGTGTGTTTCTACTTGTCGATTCTTTGCAGTCCTGTATTGTGCTAGACAACGCACACATTTTATATGAGCATAAACAACACACTGTGATAAAGCATTATCCTGATTAATGGATTGTATAAACCAGTGTAATTAATGAGCAAGAGTAATGTATTAGACAAAACTGTAGAGAGACATTAAGTATGTAGATTACATAAATATGTTTGGTGTAACCAAAATACAAAAAATTCTCCACAAATACAGATCTCATGATTTTATTTATGCATTTATTTATATATTTGCCTTCTGCAAATGATTAATTGAACTTATATAATTACAGACATACTGTTCACATAAACTGCCCTCCAAACTTATTGGCATCTTTGAGGATGGAACAATTACTTACAATCTTTCATCATGAAATTCATTTCAAAGGGGTTTGATGCGTTCTGTTAAGTCTTAATTGCATTGTTCACATTATTAAGGCTACAGGAGAAGTATACTCCTCCTAAATATAACAGAAAAATAAAACAATGCAGTATACAGTGGCAGTGCAATTATATTACTGAAAAAGTATAATTTGGCACTTCATTAATGAATCCTGTTATCCAACAATAGTAAAATCAAAGCAGTTGTATCATGCAGTTGAATATTCCTGCAATAACTAATCTGTATAAAGCTTGTATTGAGAGTGATCTGTAATAATCTTTAGTTTTTGATGTTGTGCTTTGTTACGTTATATTGTCAGTACAGTTCAAGGTGGGAGAGAGATGTCAAAATGAGCTGAATAATAGAGTTGAAAGCTGAATCAATACCTGTCTTATAGTGTCTCAACTAAAACTGAACATTATAGACTTCACATGGTTAGTATTCATTGTAGAGATATTGGGTTGCATTGTTTCATTGTGCAGCTTTTTTTATATTAAGGCCACTCCTCATTTTTGGCAATGATAATTGATGTGCTATAATTAAAATAACACATCCTAGAGGGCTTAAATACTTGACACATTTACATAGAATATAAATACAACTGACTAAACAACAGCCTTAGACTTAGCTTTGCAACAATAAATGCGAGTGTACCTTTGTCGTCTCTTCCTGCAGAATAATGCACCATGTCACTCAGCAATTGTTGCCTCAAGACACCTCCACAAACATGAGTCACTTTAGTTCACTCCAGTGGTCAGCACAGTCCCCACATCTCAACACAATAATGCATTTTGGGACTGAGGTAAACAGGATGTTAAAAGTTTCGATGTGCAGCCAAAAAATTGAAGGAACTCAAGGTCGTTATTGATTCAGCACGGACAAACATCCCTCTAGAATATTTCCATCAACCAAGCCAAGGATTTTTCATTTCAGGACACAAAGGGAGCTCTAATGAGTATTAGCTAGGTGTAAATAATAAAGTCAGTGCATATTCGCTGCTTTCTTTCTTTATTTCTTTTTTAAACTTTAAAAACCTTTACCAGTGACAGCCATGACATCTCACATCTAACAATATCTCAAGTAACAGTTTACATGTATGCAACCCACTGCAAATGTAACAAAGTGAACAACATCATACACAATATATATAACAGGTGAGCAATTTCATCATAACACAGACAAACAAGATCCATAAGCTTTGCTGGTGACAACAACTGAATCTATAGGTGGCTTACAAAAATCACTGATTCAAATATTCTCTTCTTCTTCATTTACTTTGTCTGCACTGCAAATATGTAAATATATATTCTGTACATCTAAAACAAAAGGATTCAGGTGATAGCTTAGCTTGGTCCATGATTATCTAGTAAGGTTTTATGAACAAAATAATATTCTGTAAATTTTTTCTGTTTCACAATTCCATTTACATTTTACACGGTGAAGTACTGAAAATAAAAGATTAAGACTTTCGTTGTTTGTCCCTTATAGGCTTGAACAGCAAGCCTCAGGGCGAGAGGAATCAGAAGGAGGTGAACTGATATTTTATGGCCGACAGCGTGTGATGAAAGGCATGGTGGGCAGCTTGAGAAAGGGGAGGGAGGGCGGGTGCTTATGTGGTGGAAGTCTGTGTGATGCTCCTCTGACTGCTAGTGCTCTTAATGGCAAAGGTTGAGGAGTTGCTCTTGTGACTAGAGTCAAAGTCACGCTCACAGCGGCACTGGGATGACTTGAGGTAGCGAGTAGAACAGCACAGAAAGTTCTGCCTAAGATCCTGGAACAGATGCCCGGCGAAGCACATGTAGATCCAGGGGTTACAGCAGCTGTTGAGGCTGGCCAGCAGCATGGAGATGATGAAGGGCATGGCTGCAGGAGATGAGACAGAGAGTTAGTGTGCTGTGACAACAAAAAATTAAACAGCAGCTTTTTTTTCTCTGTGAAAGTTAAGGTGATAGTGGCAGGCTGAAAGTTTATTTGGTTGTACACTTGGTGATGTTGGATGATCAGTCGGTCCATCACTTTGGTCAGACTGCGATATCTCAAATTATCTAATAGTCTGAATAGCCATGAATTTTGGCACACATATCCCCAGAGGATGAATCTTAATACATTTGGCAATAATCTGACTTTTCATCCAGCGTTTTGTGGTTTTTAATTAATTTTCTTGATAAATACTAAATAGACTGCCTTGAAATGTGGTAGAGAAATTCATATCCACCATTGGGATGAACTTTAGTAATTCTCTACATTTAATCAATCAGAATTATCAAGTAAAATATTTAAATTGTCCAATACTTTAGTTTATTATTATTATTATTAAATACTTTGTATTTAGAGCTAATTATCAAATGTAAGAATTCCAACACACTAAAGTTAGCTGCGTTGCAAGCATGTTAGCGTGATAACGTTAGCTCAGCATGCTAGCAGTTAGTACAACCTCACAGAGCAGCTAGCATTGCTGTACACTCATATCGTTTTTTTTCCTTTCACACATTTGTTATTTTCTGCCAAAGCTCAAGTTCAATTAGAAGTTTTAACCGTACAGTTACAACTGTATAATTGAATATATAGCCGGAGAGATTTTCAGTACGTTAAATCAGAGGAAGGAAAGAGTTTTATAATACTTGCAGCTCAAAAGTGAGAAATAACACAAAATAATTTAAATGGTGACCCGTTAAAACAAGCACAAATAACACAAAGTAAATTCCTGAAAAAACACCATGGACAGCGAGGCAGAAATGTTCCTCACACAACGTTGCGGTGAGATACATCACGACAAGTAACCTGCAGTGGCACGCTGGATGACATTTACGCTATGTCAACTCCACCATCCAACTGACATTTGGCAAATGAGTTTCGGATTCATGTAATTGGCTCGTATCCCGTATTTAACCTCTTCTTACTGATTGCTAATCTTTCTCTCAGCCTGCCTGTGCTCCCGCTATTCTCATGTTGTCTCTAATGACAGTCCCTGAGCTCAAACGAAAATTGTTCAGCGCAAATGATCTCTGGAAGGGCACGAAAGTCACACACAAGATTAATAAGAATTGATCATCAGCCATTAAGGGTTTGATTTATGAGACTAAAACACGAGTTTAACTGAGTGTAGATCATTTAATTACCCTTCTGTGTCAAAGGTTTTATAATCTACTTTTGATTAAGTGCTGCATTGTAATCTTTCTGATGCACAAATGAAAATGACAGAAGATTGTAGTAAATAATGAAACTGCAATACAAAAATGCAAGAAAGTGTTAATTCATCAGCTGATACGACACAACTATACAACAAACTTTACAATCCCTGTGTCAGCTTCTTCTAATATAGACTATAATGCTGCTGACGTGGATGAAGGAATACACTGGAGACAATGCAGAAATACCAACTGGTGGTTATCAAGCATTCTTATCAGGGTGGATAAGAACAGAGCCTGGATCTAATTTGAATAATAGGGCGAACTATGAAAGAGTCTTTAGTGAATTAGCTCACGGTGTCTCTCACAAGAGAATGATAAATCACACAGTGAATGAAAAGGAAGAACAATCATCCCCTGGGTGGCACATCTGTCTCATTGTCAGAGCTCACACTGGGCAGCCCAAAAGACTCTTCTGTGATCCATTAATGAGAACTCTTTAATACTGATTCTGGTTCCCTAAAGGAAACAAGCATTAGCAGTAATCTACTTTTAACTTTTTACATTAAGTGATATTTAAGTTAAATTGCTCTGAGTGTTCTTTTATGACATCACTTTGCTTTTCTCACTGCTTTTAAAGTGACTATATAGGAACTGACCTTTATAAAAAAAAAAATGAACACTTGGCGAGGGAACACTGGGCTTTGTGTCCATCAAGCACTTAATGCAAATCGATGGCACACAGAGTGTGAGTCAGCGTCCGAGGGCACCAGACTCAGCAGGGGGAGATGTTTGTGCTTACAGATTTTTTGGGAGCTTGTGTGAGTGTCTGAGTCAGGGTTTCACCTTAAGGTGTTTTTGTCTCCACATAATGAAATCTGTCTAGCTGTTAAATGTGAAATCACAGTGATGTCACTCTCACAAAGCTTAAAGGAATGGGGCATTTGACCGTCTCCTGACATTTCCAAAAACTGTATTGATAAGCGTAATGGGGTGATAAAACTGGTAAACTTCCTATCTGCGAAAGGTCCTGGCTCCTTCACAGTAAATCCAACTTGGAAATTGTATTTAATCTAATATCTCAGTCGTTTTGGTGGAACTTTGAGGGATGATGCAATTTGGCCCTTTTTTCATGCATCTAAAAAATTACACTGGTTGGCTTGAACGTATCTGTGTGCTACACCACTGGTCCAAATTTAACTAAATGAATAGTTCATCATTTTGGGAAATATGCTTATTCGCTTTCTTGATGAGAATTTGTTAATGAGATTGAAAGCACATCTGTAGAACAAATATGACGCTTCAGCCAGCCATCTGGATGGACCTGTACTTGTATACTTCCGACCACTCAAAGCCATTCACCCTTTCATACATATTCACACACTGATGCTATGCATCGGGAGCGAATTTGGGGTTCAGTATCTTGCTCAAGGATACTTCGACATGTGGCAGGAGGAGGCCGGGATCGAACCCAACAACCTTCCGAATGGGGGGGATGACCCCGCTCTGCCTCTGAGCCACAGAGGCCCCCCATCTGTTAGCTTAGCTTGGCATATTCCGTTTCTTTAATCTGTACAAAACTGTTTGTGTAACAATGATAATTTGCCATTTTATGTGGGGGCTTTGTGCTAGACTGTTTCTTAGTCAGGCAGCTAGCTTCTTATCTAACTCTTGACAAGCTAGTGAATAAGCATATTTTCCCAAAATGTCAAACTATGAACTTGGACAAATTGTGCATCTGGTTGTTTATTCTCTCATGGGATTTCTGAATCATCAGCCGAAGAGATGATTACTTTAACAATGGGCCAGGGTGTAGAAAGTGTGGGAGTCTGCATATAGATTCAGACAAAGAAACTGCTGCTTGTAAATCTTGTTTCTGCTAAGAGTGGCCTTTTAAAGACAGACAGCAACCTGTAAGTAGTAAAACTCCATTTATGTTGAAGAGTCAGTTTAATTGATGGTGAAAATGGAACAAATAGATGTCTTTATCAGGTGAAGCTCAGAGGAAACTGTGTTAATCATTTATTGCCCCGCAGAAAAATGTCCACCAGTGAAAATAATCAATTTTCATGCCTGTTCTGGAGAAATTCCATGTTAAAATAATAAAGGTGGTTATATGGAGGGCTCTCTGTTCTGTTTCTAGCCATACTTTGCTGTAAGTATGACTCTAATGGACACTTTATCTATACAAACACACAGGTGACACTCCGGCCTATCTTTTGTACACAAACATTGGCACGTGTCACTGCCAATTCTAGCCTTTCTGAGTGCTGTTCACGTGGAGGAAAGCTAGCAGACATCAGCCTCCTCCCTGCACTGATCCAAGCTCTGCAACAGAAAATGAATGAATTTCTTTCTTTTCCATTTCCAAAGGCAGGAGCACATTTGCTGCTCTGTTCTGGCTACTGTAACTTTATCTTCATAAGATGTACAGTAGCGTCAGACAATACTGCCCTGTCATCGGTGCAATATGCTTCCTCTGTGTTGAAGAACTGGATGACAGCTAGGTGTATTGTGCAACAGTTAAGCTCCAACGTGAAGATAGCCGGCGTGAACAATGCAACTTGAGGAGGATGACAGCGATATACAAGCTGGAACCTTTTACACAAACACACAAGAGCAAAACAAAACAAAAAAAGAGCAGAGGCCTGAAACTCTCTGTTCTGAT